AAGGCATAAGACATTTAAACTTGTAGTACTATGACCTTCTGAATCAACTCCTTTCAGCTCCATGGCCTGTAAAAATCATCACCCTTTACTCTCATCTTTATAGCTTGTGGAAGAATTTGAGATATTTTTGTGTTATTTTATTCCTAAAGTAAATAATTATCTAAGAGAGGGCATTGTAGTTTTCTGAAATGGTTATTTGCACTTTGTTTGGTATGGCAGTCTGTGTGTCTACGAATGGAGAGCATGACAGAAATCCACCTTGAAGTAGATAACCGGTCTTTGATTCAAACTCTTAAGATAATGAATAGTGCCTCAATATGAATTTTTGGCTGCTTGGAATTTAGAGAGAGCACAAGCTTCATGCTGTTAGGTTAAAATAATCTATTTTAGAGCTTTATGAACATTTTGTAAAAGTTTTAATTTTTTTAAAGTTAAATATTAGTGCTTTCGGTATGCTCTATGAGTTTGCCAATATTTTGGAGTAAAGAAAAGGCTCTTTATATTTTATTAATATGAACTTCATTGTCAACTGACTTGCACTGCTCCAAGTATTGAAAAGATCAGAAATAAATGGGTAGATATTATAGTAACTATAGATTCAAATCAAATGCAATTCAATTTTGATACCTAGATAGCATTATTTTGTGAATATCTTTAAAAATATGATTGTTTTTTATGTGCATTTATTTTGGGAGTCTTAAAACATTTATGCATGAAAGAAGCAATACAAAACTGCCAACTATGTGATGGGGACACATCATTGATTGAACAGTAGTATGAGTTTTTGTGAAGTGGCTGATGGTATCTTGTATTTAGCAACAGGGAATTCTCTCTCTAGAAGGTCAGATTTAATGAATGTTCTGTACATGTTTCAGTTTTAAAAATATCACTCAACTCGAAGTGTTACTAACTACTTCATAAACATTCATAATTGTGATGAAACTTTTGTCTGGAACTATAACATACATTCAGAGATTTACCCAAATGCTAGATGAGTCATTTTGTAACTAGAATGAACAATAATAATTGGTTCCTTGATTCTGTGGCTGCCTTAAAAGAACATTCTACATGATTTTAACATCCCAAATGACTCTGGCTTTTGAATTGTCCACCTAGTTTACTTCTAAAATAAGAACTTGAGGCATCTCAATGTGTCCAGGCAAATTTTTGTATGTTATCTGTTTGTGTACATGCACACATCTTGAAATTCATTTCATTATTCAATGTGAGTTCTTTTTGAATTATTATCATTTTTTTTTCTTTGTGTGTGTGTGGTTAATACAGGCAGATTTTTGTATGAATCAGTTTGTGTGCCTGCACACATCTTGAAATCCATTTCAGTGTTCAATGTACTTTCTGCGTTATTATTATTGTATTTCCTTTTTGTGTGTTTGGTTTAATAGGGGTATGCTCTGGAAATGCATGCCAGAGAGACTACAAAAAGCACAAGAGCATATGGTGGTTCAAGTACATGAAGGTTAGATCTGTGTTTTACTTTAATGTGTTTTCCTGAGTGTAAAGAAAGCGAAGGCATAGATCCTCAGACCAATTTTGATAAAATGGAAAAAGTTGAGTTGGTTTTGTCTTAATATTTTTGCTATTAGCAATGATGTTTTAAAAAAAAAAATAAATAAATAGACAAATAAATAAATAAATAACAGTACTACAGTATCCGTGGTGAATATCTCACAAGTTTTAGACTGAAAATAATTTGTTTCAAGAACTGACAGAAACAATGTGTAAATGATCCTATTTTCTTAGCTTGAAATTTATTAATATTTTTTCTAAATTGTAACTTTGTTGCTGGATTTTTCTCCCTTTTTTCTTCTTCTTGTAATAGGGAAAAAAACTCAGTAGTTTAGTTTTCAGTTTCCTATGGAAATTTATTAAATGTTAGTTTTGACTTTATGTGTTTTTTTTAATTTGTTTTCATTAATGTAGAGTAGGAAGATTCTTGTATTGAAGCATTATTCGATGGAGAAATACCAGCAGATGTTCAGTTATAAGGTGCCCAGATTGGGTAAAGGATTTGCAATAATATTGTAGGTAAGGGCTGTGATTGCCTGATCTGGGAACCCTAAACACAAATGAATTGTCCACTCTCAGTTACTCTAATGTTCCCTTTGTCCTATTCCACTTATACCTCTGTGAATGATTACATAATTCACTGTTTCCTGTAGACCAACTGCAGGTAACAGGATACTCATTGAAAAATTCTCATTGCAATATTGAGTCATATACATTCAAATTTATATTCGAATTACCTAAAATTTATATGCAGTTTCTAAATGGCACTTCAGATTTACTGGGCTCTTGTAGAATATACTTAAAACAAACAGCTTTATTTTATGAGGTGTAATTTACATGCTATACAATTTGCCGGTTTTAGGTATATAGTCCAGTGATTGTTTAATACATGTATAGTTGTGCAGCCATCACCATAGTCCAGTTTTAGAACATTTTCATCTCCCCAAAAGACATTTTTGCCTGGTGCAGACTCATAACTAACCAAAGCTTAGCACAGTTGCCAGTATATAAATGATGATGAAAAAAGATTATAGAATAAGATTTTGTTTTGTTTTTTAAGGGTAGAGTTATATTTGAATCTAAGCTCAGGAACCTTGTGTTAATTTATTGAAATATATTATCTCCAAGTACCATAATGATAAAAATTTAAGAATGTGGGTTGGGATTAATGAGTCTGCTGTTTCTATAGCATTGTTGTAGAATAGAAAAAAGAATATGAAGCCATGTGTCATTTTAAATTTTCTAGCAGCAATATTAAAAAAATAAACAGCTGGGGTTAATTTTAATGATATAGTTCATTTAATTCAGTAGATCCAAAATATCATTTCAACATGCAATCAATATTAAAAGTCATTAAGCTATTTTATATTCTTTTATATGAATTCCTTGAAATCTGGTGTGTATTTTACTAATGTGGACTTGCCACATTTAAGTGCTCATATCCACATGGGACCTAAATAGCACAGTTCTATAGTGCATGTACTAATTTTTTGTTCTAAATTATGAAGTAGGGAATTTCATGAAATTACAGCCTTTTCTAATTACCAGAGCTTTCCGTGCTGACTAAATTGGGACTGCTGAACATTAGAAATATATCACTTAGAAGTGCAATATAATAAAAATTATAGCCCTCCCAAATTTCCTTTAAAGATGACTTTTCATGGGACAGTTAATGAAAGCATATAACCTGCCTTGTTATTATGTAGTTATTTTCTCTTGCTTACAGCTAGTTTGTATTAGAAATGTATATACAGGAATACTATTTGGCATAGCACTGTTTTTAGTACATGGTACTTATTTTTTTTAAGGAAATTAATTTCATACTAGAAAAGGTAATTTATCATAAGTGATACTTTTGCATGAAATACTAGTTTATTGGTTAACTCTTGATGTTTGACATAATCAGCAAAAATAATTATGAGACTTTAGTGTTCTGCAGTTATGTATAATAGAAACTTCTACAGTGTTATAGAGGTTGTAAATGTTAAAAAAAAAATCTCTTCATTTCACTGTTTATTGAGATTGGGTATATTTGAAATTGTAGATTTCTATGTCTGAAATCGTCTCCCAGTTAAAAAAAAAAAAAAAAAGCTTTTAGGCGTGAGAAATTCCCCTTGTTATAGATAAGTGTTTTACCTGTTTACTCAGGAACACAGTAGCATCCTCAAAACATTGTTAAAATCCAGCATCTTTTTTTATTTAGTAGGTGCCATAGCTATCCCAACCCTATGGTCAAATGAATAGAACCTAGGGAAGGTTGGGGAATGGACCGGACTTCCATTAGAACCTGTATTATTTGTCTGATGTATCTCCCTTGCCTTTATTATTATTTTTTTTTACTTTTATCCTTTGCCTTATTCAGCTTCTGGAGGTAGGGGATGGTGGGATCTGAGTATGGAAGAAACAGTAATAAATTAATCCCAGAACACAGGAAATTGGAATTATGATGTCTTCATTATTTTGTTGTTTCCAAAGATTTTTACATGTATGATTAAATAAAAATTCATCTCTTGCAATTTATCTCTTGCTGCCATTTCTGTTTGGATTTGTTTACCTTCTATAATTGAAACTTTGTAGCCTTGAGTGGAGGCCTAGGCTGGCCAAGGTGTGTGGAAAGCTTGGCTTCCTCTATTGCTGGGGAAACCCAAGCCTCTCAACTGCTCTCTGTGGCTGCAGCCATCTTGGTTGGTATTAATTTGCATACTTGCTCTGATTGGCTGGTGGGCGTGGCTTGTGGGTATATCACAGTGTTGGTTAATTTGCATATTACTCTTAGGTATGATGTTTAAATGTGTTAATTTGATTAGGAATTATGGTGATCATTTTATTTGGAGTTTTATAAAAGCTGGAGGAGATTACAAAGAAGTGCTTGATCTATGCTATAAGAAAGCAATTATGAATACCATGGATAGTATGCATTAGAAAATATGACTATTAAATGGTTTAAACAAATAGGGAGTTATTTTTCTCATAAAAAAGCTGGGTATAGGTAATTGCTAGTGTTTTATTTATCAGCCAAGAATTCAGGGCTTCAGACTCAGTTCCTCATTTTTAACTCACAGTGTTGAGGTGACTGATCAGCCATGGACATTACATGTGTGCTCCAGTCAGGAAGTAGGGGAAGGCATGACACCCTTCATCTGTATCTTTTATCTGGAAAGCAGAAGCTTTCCCAGAAGCCTCCAGTAGATTTTCTTTCTAGTAGTCTGGGTGGCATGATTATTCCTAGCTGTAATTGTGGCTGGAAAGGCAAGCGTAAAGATTTCCAGCCTTTTGAAGAGAGAGCATGACTCTAGATAGCCAGCCATAGCATCAGTGGATCAGCTCTGGGAAGTGTGTGTAAGGTTCCTTCAGATGTCAATAGGGGGATGACAGACTCCCAGAATAGAAGTGAAAATAGCAAAGTAATCATTCACTTCTTCATGAAACATTCACTATCCTAATTGAGGTATTATAGTGAGGTGATGGAGCGT